TTCTTGGCAGATGATCCAGAAGTGGTTTGCCATTGCCTTCTTCTGTGTGTGTGAATGGAGTAATTGTTGGGATGCCACGGAGAAACCCCCGGAGGAAAACTCTGTGTTGCCTAGATCACGGCCTTGCCCAACACAAGTTATAAATTCGAGCACCGCCGGGAATTGAACCCGAGACCCCAGGATTACAAGGCCAGCGTTCTAACCGCTAGACCACCATGGCGGTATGTCATCATAAATGTGCATAATTTTATATTGAGGTAGATAAAACATGATTGATATTATGAATGATTTAACGGACGTCTTTACCATTAAATAACTGTCTTAACTGAGACTATTAGAGGTGAATTTATTTTTATTTAAAACTGTTCATTAAACTGATGTATTTGTGGAATTTCTGAAGTGGATAACAAAGAAAGGGAAGTGTGCTTGGGGTGTACTGCTGATGATATTGACAATCTCCTAGCTACTCTCACTGGGAAAAGTTCACAGTATGATCAAATTGTTTGTCAGTGACTTTATGGGCTCTGATCAATTATTTTCTCTTATCCAGTTCACATACATACCTTAACAAATGACTTCCTTCCACATGTCTTATCTCATCATTCATGTTGATCCCTACACTCACTATCTACTACATGATCTTTTCAGTTCATAGGTCTTTAATACTATAAACAGAAGAATTTATTTAGCATTGGATGAAATGAGATGATGGCAATACATAATAAAATGGAAATGTCTGGACAAGAAACAACGGTGCCTGTTTTAGAGCAACTAAGTAAAACGATGAAAAACCTGGATAGCTTATATCCCAACGAAGAAAAAATCTGGGGATCTTTAGGTCTATTGCGTTAGAAGATAAGATGGACGTAATTCGTAGAATAGAAGGTGGTGATACCCGTCATAATGCGTGCAGAAGTATGAAGTTGCCTCCTTCCACTGTGACTACCATAATGAAAAGTTCATATAAAATAAAACAGTAAATGCAAGAGACTACGAGAGTAAGTGCAACGCAAGCAAGTTATAGCAGAAGTAAACTTTTAGAAAGAATTGAGAAATTACTGTTGCTATGGGTGGATGACATGAATTGAAAAAACATTCCCTTGACTGAAATTGCTATCATGGATAAGACAAACTCAATTTTCGAGGAACTTAAGTCGCCAATGTTTGGGTGCTGGGAACGCATGTCATTGACTTCCCATTGATTTACATTATTGAAAGAGTTTCAATTTATGCCAGTTCGTCCAGGAACGCATCCCCGGCATAAATCGAGGTTTACCTGTACTTCATTCTTGTACACACATGTTGGTGTGAAGAAAGAAGCAACACACACACTACATTATCACATTGTTGTTACTGACTGTCCAATTAGTTACATAAAATATATGATATTTAAAACATATTTTAAAAGAGTTAAATTGGCAGAAATTAATCTGTCTTCGTTTTTCTATACAAACTTCAATAATAAGAACAAAGAACAATTAAAATGCATAATACCATATATGTTGCATTTCTCTACTTTGAAATTATAATTTAATAAATTATAAATAATAATTAGGAAAATAAAAGGCTAAGTACCTAAGCCACTTCAAAAATGTATAATATATCTTATTGTGACATGTGGCCAATAAGTATATGAAAACTTCAGTCCAATTTATGAAAGTTCACTTACAATACTATCACAAACTGAATTAATTATTAATAATAGTAACATCATAAAAATAAAAACATTTAAAATTACAATCAATTCCATTCACTGATAGAACAACTGATCAACTCTTATTGCATTCTAATATAGAATCTTAATTTCTCATAACCTGTTGTCAAATTCTAAAGTTGTGTGAATAACCCATTCAATGTTACTGAAAACAAGTCAGTTCCTTATCCTTTAATTAAATAGTCGCATCCGGTATCCTCTGCTCATTCTGAAACTCACCGTTTTCATCAGATTGGACAGCAGTGATAAGCAATGAAGGCATTCACTTGGTAGTCCAGCCAGAGGAATGGTTATTCAAAGGCTTCTTTGTAGCTTTCCTCAGCACCTTAAGATGAATGCCAGAAAAGTGTATCATATAAGTTACTGTTACTCCATTGCAAATCCTTGCCCACCCATCATTCATAACCAACTTCACAGCTGACTGGACAATACACAACTTCTGCAGTTGAAAAAGCAAAATTCAGTTAACTGCTAATCTAATCAATCATTAACTGTTATTATTTCCTATAGAATTTATACTTTTGACATTTACTGGTTGTAAAAAATTAAGATCAATATTACAGCTTTCTACACACTTCATAGAACAGTAATGACTGTTACATAAAGCATGCTTGCAATGCAGCAGAACAGTGAAAGGGTTTATGAGACTTTGTATCTGACATTATGAAGAAGACCTGTTAAGAACTAATTGCATGTAAAGTTTAATTCAACATGCCTTCAACTGCTCCATACATATCAAAGATTCTAATTTTTTAATCAACAAACTAAAAGTAGCAGTAAAAGGGTGACAAATAAAAGACTCTATAAACTCCGAAAAAGCTCACATAAAATACATAAAAAGGCACCTCAACAACTTACTTTGAAGTCAAATATGTTTATGGAAGCATATTTATTTCAATGTTTCTCATCTTCTGTCAAATATCACCTTGACAACATAATCATTACCTTTGAAATTACAAATCATCATAGTTCATCACACCTCTAAACAATAACCAATAATTTCCACATCATTTATTAGCACCAAATGCTTAATTAAATAAATATGTATTTACAATCATGGGCAATATTACAGTTCAAGGGATATTCTTACAAAAAGATGAGAGAAGCTATAACTTGTTTAAAAACAGTCCAATTTCATTGTATACAGTTAATAGCAGCCCTCGAAGTAGTTCTTTAACTGTTATTTAAAGATAAAATAGGGCTAAAACTGTCCTTGAGAATTGGGGCTTCAATATGTGAACATATAAAATTTAATTTTCAGTACTTAGAACATCAACAATCATACAAAATTTGCACTCAAATATGGATTGCACTCACCAATGATTTTCTATAAGTATGTAATAATTGCACAAGAAAATTATGCTGATTACTGTCCAGTGTCTTCCACATATGTTCAGGTAATCCAAGTATCATAATTATGCCAACTTCTGTTTTATTTTATTTCTTGTGGCTATGACTAGGTTCTTAGCAGTCTATATCAGTATTATTACATTTGCTGTCAATTATGTTACAGGACATGTGTGTTTTGCCATGCACAATATCCAAAAATGAACAAACAAAATTTTGTAGGTGGCATACTTGTTTCATATGTGAAAGGTCCCAGACGGGCTATCCTGACTGAGGTTCTTCTCAGTCCCTCCAAATATTATGAAAATACCTTAAATTAGGTCACTACTACTTCCTTCTGCATCCTTTCCTATAAATGGAAAGGACATGGAAGGAATTAATTATCAGTTATTCACTAATCTTCATATCATTTGACAATATATAATGTGATCCACTGAGATGTCATAAAATAAACTACAAATATAATTTCGTAACTAAATAAAATACAATGGAAAACATTTACTCATTACCTCAGTAACATGCTTGTAGAACAAAGTGAAATTCCAAAAAGGTATAAGGGAAAAAATTATATACTGATCACCTTTCAAAAGTAACAGGAACTTCATTTCTGACCATGACGCATATCCATAAATAGCTACTTCAGTGCATAACTGTGGTCTTTAGAGGCATGGAAGTGACACTGTATAGAGAATTTAAAAGGATGATGAATAAATGACAAGTTACAGTGACATTCTTTTATAAGATTTAGCAAAAATTAATTTGACTCCTAAAATATAAACCCATTCCAAGTAGGAAAAAAGCATGGCATGAAGTGTAGTTCCTATTTGAATCCCTACAGCAATAAATACGTCTAAAGGATACTCGGTTTAATTCCAATCACTGCCTCAAGAAAAAATATTTAGATTAACAAAACCAAAAACTTTCAATAAAATGACAAGTAACCTGAACATGTGAGATTAAATGCATGACACAGGACACTGAACAACAAAAACAAAATCTGCCATGCTAAACAAATGTTCTAGATGCACTCCTTTAACAGAACATTTATAATTGCCTAGACCTGATTAATTTAATGGTGCAGGATATACATTATTGCATGAACACCAGTTGTATTTCCAGTATTTCTAATCAGTACTGTTACCTGCACAGAAAATTCAGCTGACTAATCTTTATTTTCTCCTTTGAGCATAACTGAGATTTCTCTGATTGCACTGTGGTCCCACAACTTAACAAAGAGATCAGATCAGACGAGAGTGCTTCAGATAGTAGATGAGAAGACTGTAGATAAATCTATACTGGGCAACCGTTTGAATCATCAGCATCCTCTGGTGTCGCAGAAGTGCAACTACTCGCGGGATGTCCAGTTCCTGTATGGAATTAAAACAAATTTGCTGTAATGGTTAAATGTCTTTTATTCGTAGCTCTTGTCGAAGTGCAGTTTCATGCCTTCATGTCACCTGTAAAGATTCCAGTGTATACAGGAAACCAATCAAAACTGGACCATCTTCTGAAATTATGCAATGGTATTTCCTCCATATCAGACTTCATGGTCATACCTCCATAACTTGGTTTTCTAAAATGAGGTACTAGAGTTTCCTTTACAGTGATGTAATGGTTATACTGCCACAATCTGGTTTTATGGAGGTAAATAGTGGCATTTATCCACCACAGATGCACCATGTAATGGCGAGGTAGGGAAACATTATCTTGTTCAACTATTGCTCATACCCACAAACCACTTACAACAAACCAGATCAAACATATTAAAGTTCTCTTAGGCTACCAATCATGTTAGCTGGTAGCCAGAGAGAACTTTATTACATCAAGTTGCTGTGAAAGCTCCAGATCATACAGATAAAATATGATTACAAGGTAAAGACACCACAATAGACACTATATGAATGCATGCGTCTTCTTACGATTGTTCATACCTGATTGTGGTCGAGTGTGTAGAGAAGCAAGTCACTCAGTACTGTTACTCCTGTGCGACCCACTCCAGCTGTACAGTGCACCAACACAGGTGGATTGCGATTATGACCAGATGGAATTTCGCCCACTGTGTGCTGTCTTACAGAGCTCAGTTCTTCCAGGAACCCTACACCAGTCGACCAATTTATCACTATAAGCAACATTTCTTGCAGCCAACTTCAATTTGTGCGATCAGAACATGAAGTTCACGTATGTAGCAACAGGAGAATGGTGTCAATTGCGTAAGAAGCAGTATCACAATCAAAACTGTTTACCAAAGTAATATTCTTAGCGTGATTACACAGAGGATAAGATAAGCAGGGAAATAAAAAATATACATAGTTTTGCTGGAAAACCTAAAGGGTAGAGACCACTTGCGAGACCCGAACAATGATGGAATTATGTGAATAAGATGATGAACATTCAGGTTCCAAAAAATGAAGGACTTTTTTGATCAACTAACTAATCATCGACCACATAAGAAAGTGACTGTTCTATGGAGTCAATGTACTTCAATGAGAAGATACACTTGGCTTATGTGCATATAAAATACTATCCAAACTAAAACAGAGAATGTTCTGAAATTCTATACTAAACATTACAGGTGCCATGATAAAGTCTCTACTGAACAGAAGATTATGGGGAAAATAATGAGACAGCAAAGCTAAACTCTCTGACAGAGAATATCTGTCATAGAAATCCTATACATATATAAGTTTATGCAAGAGGAATTATTTTTATCATCCATCATCAACACTCCTAAGTCAAGGCCAAATCCAAACCTTGGAAGATCCCTCTTGATATTAATGTACCTACTAGTGGCAAGATGTGGCATACTGAGAATAATACCAACCTAAAAAGTGACCAACATTATGAGGACAGCCTTGATCACCCCACTCCAAATACTGGAGATGCCACACTCCCCTTCCTCGATGAGATGATGTGTGGTACAGCTGCAACTTGGTGGTGATACAGTGACCAGTTTCTTGTGAAAACTGTTGCCATACTTGAAACTGCAAGATAAATTAAACTTAAACTAAAATTTACTGCAAGACTCATTATTTGGATAACCATTAAAATACTGTTATACTGGTCTCCATGGGAACTGTTCAGTATCACATACAAACTTGCATTTTATTAGTCAACAGTAATTTTCCATGAAGTTAAAGACAGTCAATGCCAAACATTTAAATTTTAGTTTAACTCAGTACCATGAATAGCTATGAGCTGGATGACTGGAGTATGATTTCTGACAGCGGCAGAAATCTTTCTGTGTGCCACCACTTCCAATTCAACTCTGAAGCCCACCCATCCTCCTAGCCAACTGATAACAAAGGTTCCATTCCTGGGGGTAAAATGGCAAGACTGCCAAACTTACCTTTCATCCCTACCTAGTGCTGAGATTAAGAATATACATCTGAACCTCCATGTCTTCATGGTATAGAGATAACTTTACATCCTATCCTATTCTTTAAATAGTATATTGTTGTATTCTTCAAAGTGTATTAAAATTAGGAAAATTGTAATAGTTCAGTGAGTAAGAGTAATAAACAGAGTAGTTCTCTAGCATTTTACTGTGAGTTGTAGACATGGGTACCAACTGATGACATACCTTAAAGAACTGTTTGTCAGGTGCAGTAATGGTAATGGTGGCAACTTACCTCCCCAACTTCCACACACATGTCTCCCCGTTCAGGACAGTACACAACTGATCCCTCTTCCTGCACACCAGTAAGCATCACAACTAGGTACACATCTGCCTCCCATATCATCTGCCAGAAGCTTCCCACAGTACCAGGCAGTGGCCCTTGAGCAGCAATATAGAACCTCTGGTGATTACCAACAGTAGCCTGCAATACATCAAAACAGTTCGGTTGACCATATATCCACTTCATATGCAATATGAGTGTCATGCAGCCAACAGATATTGGTCTTGGAAACTTATTTATGTTTCTCTGTTTAGAATTTCTTCCAAATGTATCACAGACTTACAGTATTAAACAAGCCAATGCAAATGAAGTCACTACAGAAGACCCTCAGAATGCCAAAATTCTTCTCACATGCTTATTCGGGTTATTTATTACCTAAACACCTAATAACATTCTGAAAGTTTCATTCTTGTTATTATGTACACTTTTTTATTTCATAAAATATTTAAGTGATGTCACATTAATATGCACTTCATGGGCTTGCTGCTTTACACGATGCCAGCATCATTATGTATTCTCATGTAAAAATCATAAGAACAAACAAATTCTTAAATATTTAGCTTTCTTTTATCTATTACACATACACATTTACACTTTTAAGTGTTCAGTCCTCCATGCCTTGCTGAGGAATAAATGACTCAGAATGGTGAATTTATTTACTTATGGGTTATTTAAAAACACCATCAATAGCTCGGATTATACAGTATCGAATTATATGATAAGAATAAGAAAGTGGAAGGAATGGAAGGAAACTGATGTGGCCTAACTTGAAAGCACTTTCCATGCATTTTCCTAGACAGATAGAGGAAAACAATGAAAAATCTCAGTCAGGATACCTGAGATATGAACCTCTGACCTCCAAAATATGAAATGTGAGTGCTAACCACTCAACCACAATGTGCAGTAGAATGATGAATATGAATGATTCACCTGAACTACTTCACAAAGTGATATTACACAGAATAACTTCATTTGTACAAGATGAGAGCAGCAAAGAAAGGTAATGAACACCCGATGCATAAAAAGATGGAGACAAACTTGATAGGACCTCATATATCCAAATCCTTAGTAGAATTCCAACCTCTGGCAGCTGATGCCAGAAGTATCATGCTTGATTAATCACACTTTTTGCAGCAGGATATTTGATTATAATAATAATTTATAAGCCATTTAAATTTGAAATCTGATAAAAGGAGCACTTGCCAAAGTGAGTGTCCATATAATCACTGACAGAGAGTATGAGAAAAACATTTATATCAGACACTTACTGTGATATGGGAAGCATTTATATAGCCAAGCTTATTATCTTTACTGGGAGTTAACCTCACACGGTTTTCTTCATATGGCAATACATCTTTGTACCTGTAATATGAACTGTATTAAACAAACAAACTGAAAGTTCTACAAATTTCTTTTCGACTAATTCTGGATATAGAGCCAACTTCCTCTGCCTCAACCAGAATAACATCTACAAACCAATTTCTCAGCATGCTCTCAATAACTAGCTCTTACATTATTTAACTTATTTAACAGTGCTTTTTCAACTGCATATTTAAGTATAAAATGAAGGGATGATTGTGTATGATGAATTTTAAAAGCATAAAAAAGGAAATGGTTGTGTCCTACTATAAGACATCATTCATTATTCAAACATTTAATCATTTTATATTCTGACAGCCACATACATCTCAACCCTTTAGGGTTAAGAATACCAATGTGAATGCAAAAACTGTACTTGCCACCTTTCTTATTATGACCTGTATGTCAGTATATGCCCTATTCTTATTTTAATATATGAAAAGGAACAATTTAGTATGATAAACATGCAAGTGAACATACAAATACAAAAAGGAATAAAACAAAATCCATTTTCTAGATATAAGCAAAAAATTATGAATGATTCAGTATAATTTTTATAATCAAGCAAACTACTGAGTGGCTATAAATTAATCACCACTTTTTCTGCAAGTATCTAAAATCCAAATGTGAACAAACTGAACATACTCACCTGTTACGAACAATGTTATCTGGATGCAATGCTGTTCCAAATTCAGTATTAGTTTTTTTCTTTGGAATCCTTTCAAATTCAAAGAACAGTTGACTGTCTGCTAACTTCCTTTCCAGTAACTGGCACTGCCAAAAGGAGTGAGAAATCAGTCATGAATAACTACATCCTATAAGAAAACAAGGTAATGCAGTAAAATTACACAATGCTAAGTCACCTGTATTTAAGATATGCTATACTCTGTATCACTGTCTATACTGTGATACCCTACATTCTGACCAACTGTATCCTATATTAGCCCGACAGAATGAAAAAAGGATCTAATTAAAAGACACACACTTCCTCTTGAACTGACCTTCCTTTCTAGAAGCCTTTAAAATAGTTGCTTTTCCTAATCCAGCCTTCCTCTCTCCGATCTGATAATGATAATTTCCTGTTCCATGTACCTATTGGCCTGGACTGGGCTCTATCTACCCCTCTTCCCCCAATCCCATGACTCTGATTGGCCCATTTTACTGGGCTACCTGGCCCAATCCTCCACCTACCCATCTATAACATATCAACTTCCTAAGCCTTTGTATGTCAGTTCTTTAGAGATGGAGGTTGCATGTTCCTCAAAACACTGGTATACAACCACAAAACTATACAGTGTAACAAACAACCCAGAAGACCACAATTTTAATCTAATCTTCCCCATTTCCTACTGTCTATTCATAACACCATAGAAACCCCTGACCTGCTTACCATAGTTTCTTTTGATATGGTAGCTGGCAGAGGAAGCCTTGGCAGACCTGTGCTCCACCTGTTTTGTAAGTTGCCAACAGCATTCTCCCCAGTTGTTCTTTCCTTGGTTAGAGTATTAGTCTTTGAGCTCTTGGCATTTGAACTGGATTTTGTCCTCCCACCCCCAACTAGTAACCCCCACTTCCTCTTTGGTTTCTGCTTTCCAGAATCCATGCTAGAACTGCTTGCAGACACATCAGTCTTATGGACCTGCTCTTCTTCACAAAAATGTTCTGTAACTGCATTAATATAACATTCTTAATGGGCATCTCACTGTGTAATCTAAAACAATTTGATAAATTTAGAACAATCAAATATAATGAAAATGACTGTATATTCCTTTAAGCGTGAAAGTTGATAGAAATTAAGAATATATTTGCCACCAGTGAAAATAACCCCATAACATGAAAGATAATACAGAAAAAAGAAAATTGCAGAAAAAGTATTTTATTCAATAATTATAGGCCCATAATGTTAACCCTAATTTTAGGTAACTTCTGTTCCTATAAATACATTATTGAGCTTCAGTAGAATTCACTGTAATGCTATTTTACTTCAGTACATGAATAAACATTTGAGTAATTATTCTGCAATTTCCTCCCCTTTTCATTTTAGTCCTTTATATTTAAGAAATCATCTCACTTTCAACACCAGCTTAGTGCAAATATAGTATTTAAACTAATCATCACAGAATACAAAGTTACAACTTAGTTCTTTGTTAATTACATAATGCTCTGTCTGCTGTATTTGCCACACAATAACAACAAATGAGAAATTACTTGATTATAAATAATGTAGCCAGGAAGAATCAGGAAGGAAATGGATGTGGCCTATTTGCCAAACTATTCCCATTTGCCTGGAAAATGAGAAAAACTATACAAAAGTTCTGTAAGAATAGCATGTTTCTCAACCATGGTTTGTACTGGCTATCTCCTGAGTTTACAGATTATTTGCTAGCAGTGTCAATAACTTAGATTATATAGTGATAAATGATAGGATGATAAATGAATAATGAATTAATAAGGATGTTGAAAAATGACCATAGACTAATTTAAGGCAGCATTTGCCTGGAGAGTCTGAGGACAGTCATTGAGCTAACATTTGAAGCAGGGAATTCCCAAATAAAAAACCAGGAGTAATAACCACTAGGCCATGACATTTGGTGTGTCTCCTGAAGACAATAACAGGAAACTCAACATTTATACCTGATGCAGTGCTGTTTTCTGGTGCTATTCCAAGTTTACTTTTCCCTGGAAATGGAAGAGAGAAGGAAGCCAGTTCATGTGGTGCTGAAGGTGCATGGTTCATTGCAACATGCCTGCTGGTCATGTTTCTTGATGAGAACTGTTCAGCTGCTGAACTGTAGATGTGTTGTTGTGCCACACTGTTCTCACTGTTCAACGCCTGCATGGTCACACCGATTCCAATATTATGCTCTGCATTTTGTAACTGGCACATCTCTGGTGCTGACTGGATGCTGGACGTCCGACTTCGCACCCCTGAACCATCTCCACCACTCACTATACCTACTGCATATAGCTAATTTTAATATAAGATTGATATAAAACAACTTACAAGACTTTGTTTTCATATACTAAAAATGTTAGATTAAATCTTATTCTTCTGCTTTCTAAAACATTTCATGGGTCTTGAAACAACCATGTTTCACTAAATGCTGAGACCAAAACAGCAACCTGAGCTCAAAGTATAGCTTGCTAGTAAGTGTAGACAATGGCCAGGTCTCACACAATAGCTGGGTACAAGGTGAAAATAAACCACATAAAGAAACAAGTAAATAAAATAAACTTCAGAATTCGATTTCACTTTCAAGAACAATTTTTAAGATAACAAGACTTCAAAACTGTCTGTTAGAACATAAAACTCTGTTAACACAACCTAAAGGTTCAATAGTGCTAATAGTAAAGCACAATTCTGTGATAATTTGCCTGCATAATACAATAGAAGCAATTCTCAGACTGTATTCATTCTGATGTTGTCTTTTAAAATTTTAAATGGTATGAAGGTTGTGATATATCCCTGAGTTACCAATAGCATGGTGGTTTAAGGTAATGTCTATGAAAATCATGTACAATGGCATAAAATTTATGCTTTCCAATGATCTGGTCTCTAGTTATAAGAATTCCAACCATACATGCAAGTTTTCCTTAAAAATCGGACATTTGTTCTATTGGGCACAAAATTCCCTGCATGTATAAACCCAAAAGGTACATTACCGACTTCACAAAAGTCTGCCACTATCTTTATTTACAGTTTATTTAACAATACTTTTTCAGTAGCTCAGACTATATAGGGTCAAATGAGAGGATGATAGTGAATGATGAATTTTAAAGGATGTAAAAAGAAGCAGTCATGGCCTAATTAAAGGTACCACCCTGACATTTGCCTGGAGGGAACAAGGAAAACCACAGAAAGCCTCAGTCAGGGCAGCCAGTCTCTGGGCCGAGACTTGAACCTGAGTCCTCCCAAATACAAAGCAGGAGTACTAACCACTCAACCACAATATTCAGTACTAGACTGTATCCTGAAAAATTACAAATGTGTTTAAGATCCATTTTAATATTATCCTCCTACCCATGTCCATTTATTAAAACATGAATTCTTAAATTGTTACCTGCCACTCTGCCATCAGCTGCCCATGGAAGTGGCACATTCTCATAAATAGGTTCAGGTACCCTGCCTGCACAATGTGATCCATTGGATACCGAGTTCACTGACTGATAGGGCATTGTGGTTGATCTAGGCCTGTTTTCCAAAAGCAATCCTACATCCCCACTTCCACCCATGCAGTAAACAATGTTAGGTTCTTCTGAAGCTACAAAGGCTCTATGCAGATCATCCAGATGTGGATGCTGCTGTTGAGTGTCCAATACAGCAGCCAAATTAGTGTAAGTACGATGTGATTCAGGATTAGGCAGATGCTGATGGGATGCCACTGCTGGATCAAGGTAATGATGCTGCTGCTGATGATGATTCATATGAAGGTGGCGATGGTGGTGGTGATGTAGTTGATGCCGGCCTGGACCGAGACTTCTAGATGATACCAAGTCTGGGCTGGATCCACTGACCTTAAAATACAAATAAATTTTAACACTTAAAAGAACAAGATGTACTAAGAACTTGTGATGCTGAAGCAGAATTGGAGGTTCTCCGGCCATGAGTATGAAGATGACTGTCTTCTGTGTTGTAGTGCCATGTAGACTGGTAGACATTTACTAGCATTTTAGAGATCACTGCTGCCTCCATCATCAGAATGATGAGTCTTTGCTACAACCCATCTTCTTACAATGCTTAGTTATTTTTATATGTATATTAAAGGTTAAAGGCAATATAAATTAATACTTATATAGCCTAATATATATCTTTGTGCATAATTTCTGTAGGAATACATTCACACAGCCAAATCTTTATTTTTAAGTTATCAAAGTTACACAATCAATATATGTTATGTATAAAGCAGGCTACACACGTACAGGTATACCTGTCAGGTATGCCTGAACAGACGCGCCTCTCAGGTATACCTCAACGTGTAGATGATAAAACTGTACCATGTGGACGCACTAGAGCATGAGGTATACCAAACAGGCATACCTGTTCAGGCATAACTGAAGGGTATACCTGTACATGTGTAGCCGGCTTAAGGCTACTTGCAAACAACCCCTCTCAGTAGCATACCAGATCACTTGCCTGTGGGTTAATAAATGTTGGCTGTGGAGGGGTCAGAGTTTTCGATGCAAGATCTGGAGTGCTGTTACTGCTTGGTCTGCTAATGGGGTATGGAGGTGGTGGTTTGTACAAATGCAAAAGCTGCAATCCCTGGATCATGTGGTTCTCCACAGTGTCCAATTCAGGGGTACTGGTAACAGAATGCAAAGGTTAGTGTTGCAACTCAGAATGATAAAATAGAAATATTCATTATGAGAAAAGTATGATTTTAGCATTATAAACACAAACTATTAATCAGCTTCAGTAAGCTAGGTGTTACATATTCAAACTTTAAACATCAGTATACTTATACTTAAAAAATCACCAATACCAGTTTCCTTAAGAGACAATTTAGCATTATATTCCAATTCCCATTTCTACCTTTCAAGTACTTGCTTTTCAAAATGTTTCCCCATCAAATTTCTGTTCACATTTCTCTCAATTGAGTCCATGTCCTGCCACTGTACACTTGATGTAATTACCCTAAAATATGAAGAGAAGAACATAACTGTTTCTTAAATAAAATTGTCTGTTTCCACTTTTATTATGTCCATGACGACATCACGGCAGTACAATCACTAACAAAATTCATGTTATTAGACATTCAGTTTTTAAACTCCTCACTCAGTAGTTTAATGCCTAAACATAACTAGTGTAAATAAACTCGTTAATCTATCAATATCTTTACAGGACCTCTTTTAGTCAGTCCTGTATTATATTCAGATAAGCTGATGTAATCTCATACAATATATCTGCCCAAGTCAGATGCACTAATATTGTACAAGATAAGAGTCAACAGTTGAACAGTGAAAGAAGAGTAATGTTACCTGTAGGTATGCATTGTTGGAAGCACTGCATGGGAGTTATGGTCCATACTTCCCTTCAGTATTTGTTGTGGTTGCTCATTCCTGGATTCCAGGTACAATCGTTCAACCTGTGTTACATCTGGGTAGTGCTTGTAATGGCCGCATGAATTGAGATTCTGTTAACAATTAAAGAGCTCTTTCATGCTGTGGTTTTACCTCATCTCATTCATATTATGCCTTGTCATTCACTGAAATCTAGAGAGTGAGCTTTCTTAATACATTTTACAATATTAATGAACATAATAAAATTCACAACACATCTAACATTCACACATTTCCATCATGTCTCCAAGCCTTCAAGTATCAATGGCCAACTTCATTATATTTATGTCATAACCAGAATATCCAAATAGCATAATCTTAAATTAGTTTCTCTAAATAACTGAAAGCAGCAGAAGGGCTAAACCCACAGATTCCACATTACCTGCAATGTCAATTAGCAACTAACCTCTTCAATGTGAGTCTGGTGTATTTCAGGTTGGCTGCTGTATAAAATTCCAACCTGATGGTTAGGCCTAATGTTTAAATTCCCTGAGGTCTGTCCAGCTCCACGGTATTTCTGCTGCATTGCTGTCTCATAATCAGGAGCAGGGCGGTATGATGGTAACAAGGCTCTGTAAATGAACAAACCATATGTTGATTGTTGTGTTTTAGGTTATGATGTTATGTAAACTTGTACATTATTACTGATGTTTCATGTTACTCTGAAAATGGAGGCAATACACTCTTCCAAAATGCTGACAGCCACCTACAAGACTATGTGGTGTGACAACCCAGAAGACCACAATCAATATCTTTATTGATATAACATCAAACTCTGAACCACGCAATACTGCTACTTTACTTAGCAATCAGTTAATGACACAGATTACAGAACAAGTAGATATTTATCATGAAAGTACGAGCAGAATCCAGAACACATACTCCTCCTTCATTAATTTCATTGGAACCAATAAACAAACAAAAAATGTTAAAATCCTGCAGGCTATGATACCTGGGAAAATAACTTTATAAAGAATTTTTTACATAAAAAACAAGCTATTGGATTAATTTTCAAGAGTTACATACCTGAAGTTGCAAAAATTAAACATTTTTCAATACACAACATAAGAAGAAACTACAGACTATGTAGAAACAAAATGTTTTACCTGAATGTTAAAGAGAGATCATTTACAAGTGTAAAATGCCAGAGAAGATTAAATTTATGGCATAAAAGATACATAATTTGTCCATTTTGACATATATAACATATATGTAGGCATGCATGTATGCAGATTATAAGCTGTAGTGATCAAGTTTCTATGGCATAATAAGAAATTAATGAAAGATAAAATTGTAAAGCAGAAAGATAGGTAACATACAAAGACAGAACAACAAAGAAAAGATCTGTGAAATTACGGATGTGGTTGGATGACGTGATTTACCCATATATATGACAAACAAATTCCTTTCCAAACATCAAAAATAAAGATGGTAAAAGAGAAACAACTCAAGATACCAAGGACAAAATGGAAAGATCAAGGAAGGAAAGACAAACAAATTAAAGTAGTGGGAGGACAGAGAAAAATGAAGACTGTATCTTCAAAGATGACCTACCAGGATGTAATTGTCAATGAAAGATGAATCCATTTTCATCAATCAGATCAAAGCAATAAGAAAGTACTTCTGTTTTGAATTTACCTAAGCCTGTCCATGTCTGCAGGTGTAGTAAGGTCAAGACAAGATGTGGACTGAGCTCGCTGTACTGCCGAAGGTGACATGCTCCATGCCACAGGCCCTCCACTGGTATCTCTGTTATCAAGATCTTCACAGCTCTCTGTTAAATGACGGTCCTATAAAAACACTCAAAACCCATGACATTAGACTCAGTTCACTTCTACTAAATAGCAGCAGGAAGAAATGGATTGTGAAGGTCTATGCTGATGATGGAGGCAGCAAGTAACAACATACAAGACCACATGATGTCACAACTCAGAAGACTGCAATCTTGAATGACCTAGTACTGTTTGAGTATTCAACTCAAGATGTTATGGTATGGCATGGACTGGAGAAATAAGAGACGGGCACAGAGTAGGGATAACAATACTGAACTGGATCTTCTTGTCTGTGGCTTATTTAACAACACAATCTGTGGCTCAGACTATATAACCTATGATAATAAGATGATTATGAATAATTAATTCAAAAACATATGGAAGAAAGAGGTAATATCCTAATTTAAGATACTATCCCAGTGTTTGCCTGAAGGGACTGAGGAAAACCAGAGCAAAGCTTTAATGAAGACAGCTGCTTCCATACTGAGATTTAAACTTCAGACCTCCCAAATAAAAAGCATGAATGCCAAGGGCTATGCTGTGATATCTGATTAGTGAAATGGATTGAAGCAGCTCAAGTTTATGTCCAGTATCAGGCATCTGTGTTAAGTCCCCCTTACCTCTAAGGCACCATGGAAGAGAGTTCCTGCCACGTGATCCTCTAGGTGTATGTTCTGTGATGACTCTGCAGCATGCTCATTCTGCATGTAGAATGTGTGCTGTAACATACACATTATTTATAACTGTAATATACCACGTGAATATCAAAAAGAATTCAGGGGTTCTGGTGGGGAAAAAAATTGAAAAATACTGGCCGCTTAAGACACTCCAAGTACACTTGATAGACACTAATATACATATTTTATGTTATAGAAGACTGCATAGTCTTTCTTTATCCCCTTTTCTGTCTCATAATTGGTTATGGATAATGTTACATAGAAAGAAATTTTCACTTTCGACACCATCAATCCAATTCCTCAATCAATATCATTATACATCCATACAAGCTATAAAACTTATTTTCTAAACAAATGTTTCCTTTACACCTGTAAAGAGCTATCTATTTAGTGAGAATTCCTAAACATTAATAATGGTTTTCTTTGATCCAGAAATATTAATACTAATGTTACCAAATAGCACTTCAAAAACATTAATGTCATATTCACATATTAAAGACGTGATTTTTTAAATCAATTATGCAGGTGTTCTCAGTGAGGACCACAAAACAATATCCATCTGTTATGGATGTGAAAAGACAGTAAAAGTAAACAAAGAATGCCTTAATTACGAGTTTGTCTACAAATTTTATACTATTAACTTCTCAAAAAATTATGGACACCTTACAGAGTCTACATTCAAAATGCATACAATTATATGGTACTTATATATCACAGTTATCAGTGATTTATTACCTGACAAGAGCACACGGATCAACCAGATCTCTTTTCATACATCTGCATTATTTAGGACCTGCAAGCTCACTCTACTGCACTATACTTAACTGAGACTGGCCTCCACCTTGTGAGATCAGGTGATAAATACTTGAATGTTTAAAACACTGGGTAGCTTACTTCAGTAAGACTTGCTGACTAACCATATACTCAGTGACTATAGGGTATTCAGATTTTTAAACAAGCAGGTGCATAATGTGTAAAGAACAAAGAGTAATCACACTATATAAGAAAAACTGAACATCATGTTATACTAATGACCACTACAGCTTCATATTCAGGAGGATCTGATTTCAAATCTCAGCCTGCCAGGGGGTGACTACACTGACTGAAAATTTTCTTGCCTTCTTCAGTCACATGACAATCATGATGACATCTGAAGTTATGTAAAACACAGTTGACAAAATACTGACAAATAAACCAAGAAACAATGTGTTATTTACCTGATGCACACACATCCTCCATACATATTTTGCTGATTCAGGATCAGTAAATTGGAAGTGAACTGTTTCATCTGGTACCTGACACTCTATACCAAAGTTTCGCTTGTGATTAATCACATTAGTTATGTCTTTCCACCTGTAACAAGCTTAAAATTCAAGACCACTGCAACACAAATGAAAGATAAACAATGTAATTATTACTGACATAAATTAGATTTCAGAACACATCAAACATCATGCTATTTTGAAGAGAAGTAATCTCCTTATTTATTACACTTGTGACATGCATCCACAATTTGCACTGAGACAGAAATGCTCAGTTACAAGATGACCCATCTACAGTTGATGCATCTTAAGAAGTATGGTATCCAAAACATATAATACATATTCTGTGAGTCTTTTCACAGAACTGTTCTGAAGGGAGAACGACTTTATTACTTTTCTTTCATGGAGAAATAAAACGAAAGCTAAGTTGCTAAATTATCTGACTCACCTGTAAAACTTTGAAGTCTGGTTATTTTCATAACAAACAAGTACTCCCATCAAAGACACCCCAATGATAACTTCAGCACCAGTTTCATCCTGCAATTGAGTAACTACATTATTTTCATCTGTAGTTAATGTCACACATCAATAACTTACTTACCCAACCGTAAGACCTCAGACATAATCCCATTTCACAGTATAAAAATCCAAGAAAAAATACATAATTTCATTACTCTAAGATAAAATTCTTAGCTTGTTATCCAGCAAAAATATAACTCTGTCCAATCTCTTCAGAATGGCTGTTTTATCTCACACATAGCTCTTCTGACAAAACTTCTACCTGATAAATGATGTCTTTTCTCCATCAATACACAATGGCCTGTGACATACATTTCCTAGAGGCTACAAAACCATATTTGTCTCTTCAGTAAACATCACAGCCATTAACAGAAAACTTCCATCAAGCACAATTAAAGAATGAAATGATTTGTAAAGCACACCTCTTGCTATGATGTGGTCTCACATGATAATTATTAACTCTTGAAAAGAATAATATAATTCATACATACAAATGTTCAATATTAGCACTAACACCATATACAAGTTTCATGGTACACCTCAGCTGCCAAATGTCAATTTTCCCAGAAATAACTAAACAATGTTTATTCTTTTTACAAATTTTGTTTTTCATTTGCAGAAATGATATTATATTCATTTAACACAAATAACTGCAAGGACATTTATAATTTAATAAAAACAGCAACAAAGATACAAACTTTGGCTTCAAATGTCTCTTGACCATAGCCATCCAGTTGCTGTGCTGCTAATATGTAGTACTCCTCTGCTGTTCCTTGGGACAAGCCACCTAGAGCTGCATGCTGAAGTATCACTGCCTCTGTCAAACTTTCCAGGTTGCCATCAGATGTTAAGTGCTAGCATACCACCAAACAAAGGATACTTTTAATCAACAATAGGGAAAAATGTGGCATTAGCGATAGTTACAAATAATCCAGGTTCACAAAATCTAGATTTATTTCCAAGACTTTAAAAAGACTAAAATTAAGACTTTTTTTAGTCATGTACTCCATTGTTAGGTGAAGAAAAAGCACAGACAAAATAAAACATTAAAATATATAATGGCTGATAAAACAATAACAAATAAGTTAGGAAAAGTGTACATAGCATAGCAATTCTGGCACATTCACTCCTTTAACATCGCTAGGTTTTAAAGTTGTAAATACACTAACTTTTGATGTTCTCTTACAAATAATGAAAAACAGTTGGGACAGATGAACAAGAACCTTCAATTTAAAATGTAATCAAAACCAGTCCAATAGTTCTCAAATGTCAAGACAAACATCAACTCTCCTGCAGCAACTTCAACACCCTCTTCGGAGAAAATAATTTGTAGAAGTCCCCTTCAGGAACGAATATCCTTCATCTTTTGTATATTTCCTGTAAAGATTCCATTAAAGTACTCTACTGATTGCTTACAGTATTCTTCAATGGCATACTTTTCTATGCTAGAATTCCAGTATTTTAAATACCTTTGGAAACAATGCAAAATCCTTTAAGTATTCTGCAGTATGCCGTTCCAAATCATGATTCCCAAACTCAGCTGTAACAATTACAGACAAATATTTATACACTTTTCATCAAAGACAGAAGAAGAAAAATATCATGCACTTTTCTTAAAATTTTATAGCAGTTAACTAACCTAAATGATTTAGGTTCTACTGTATTCTGTTCTTGGGTATGCTTCATGATCTTAGATTTTCCTAGATATTTTCTGAATGTGACAATCAATCCACCTTACAACAATCTACGAAATGCATCCATCAGAAGTATGAACCTGACTATAACAGGCAGAACATGTAGTATGGAGGAATGAAACAAAACCCAAGTCCATGAAACAGAATCCTTCTTGAAAAGCTAATACTCAGTCAGTTATTAAAAAAATTCACTGCTTTTATAAAACCTGAAGGTATATAATCATGTTCACAACATCCAGCCAGTGGACCATATCTTCAGCCAGATGAATTCAGTCCACAAACTCACATACTGAAGATGGCCATCAATACTGGGATATTGCGCCATATAGTCTTTCAGAGGTGCTTAGAGCCTTCATCATCAGGGTGATCAGGCACTCATCAGCCTGATGATAAGGGCAGTATGCATATCTGAAATATGGGTTAATTTCTACATGATTATATGGCATAACATACCTGAAGACATTTATCATCATACTTGCTGTGAGAACCTGAAATTTCACTTAACTTGCATACTATTTCTTACATACAAAATTTTGTTTAAGGAAATTCTCAGATAGTAGATCCTTGTAATAATTATCAATAATAAACAGATATTTACAAATGCATATGCTTAACAATTTTCGTGCATCTATTTACATAACAAAACAAATAACCTTTAATCTTACCTTGCATGCTATAACTTGCTAAAAGCACTGCTTGTTTAGCATCACAGTTCATCCGACCATCAATCACATCCTTCTTAAGCTGAAGGAAATAGTGATACCTACATTCAAAACATTACATCATAAGCTGAATTAATTTTAATAAAGGAACTGTCTAAATTTATAACCTAAATATAATATAAATATGCATTAATTTAACTAGTTTTAACTACTGATACATTAAATTCTGTAAATGTTAACTCAACAGCTTGTACCTGTGAAATACTTTAATTAATCAACATAAAAAAGATCATATACACATTTGGTGGACATACAAAAATCCCTCAGTGCACCCAATTTCAAATCTCTCTAGCTAGGACAATTCATTTAACATCACAAAACAACATTTCAAATCTAGTGGCATATATCATGCTACTGCCATGTTGTTGTGATTTAATGTACCAAGACATTAATTTATTTTGTTTATACTTATAATTTTGATTAAATTATTTTACTTTATTGTTGTACATACTTTTGACTAATGAAAACTATAGAACCTTTTCATTGTCACTAAAATGTCAGTAGGTGTGCATTAGCCTATGTTTATATGTCTGTTGACATCTGGACAACCATGCAATGCAAATATATACCTCTTTCCTTCAAAACTTATACTTCATATCATAGACATCAGTTTCTTAAATTTGAACAATTCCTTTGGCCATTGGATTTCATCAAATAAGAAAATATTACCATTAAATTTTTGTATAATTGATAAGTATGCTTTTCTAAACAGTTAAAGTGGTCCACATATTATAGTAGATTAACAAGGTTTTTATATCATTCAACATTTCATGGCTGGACACTTCCTTATATTTCAAAAAGCATGGTCACTTTGGGAAATGAATGTCCATAAAAATGACGACAATAATAACAACAAATCACTGCATTTAAATATCTCATTCAAGGAAAGTTGTCCAAACCGTGTAAGTAAGCTGCCTGTTTTTAACCGTGATTTATGTACATTTTACATAATTACCTTGTCATTTCATCGTTCAGCAAGTTTACCCCTGAAACATAGTACATAACACGTAGAAACAGGTTCTGACCCCGAGCATGTTTATCGAGCTGCCTCTTAAGTGGACGATCCATTTCCACCCATCTTGGAAGAGGCTGTGCATGGCGTGATAAATAACGCAACCCAAAAAACTCTGGCTGAAACAACCATTTAAATAAACAAATAAACCAAAAGGTAAAACACACACCTGCTGTAACAAATTCCAAGTGTGTATTACATAGGTGTAATGTACAAGAACACTTTTTTCACCATTTCATATTCGTTTATTGCATGCTGCTGACCAATCACCCCCTACTAGTGCCAAGGTTGAGAATGGGTAGGAGTAGGAGCTATACCTCCTCGCCCCTAAGTGCCAACATTGGCATGTAACACGATTCCTTTATTTTACTTTTTATAAATAAATCATTAAATGATAACCACATCTGATGAATCAATATATGACTTGTTAACAATTTCTGGGCAGTCCTATAACATTTATTTCTTCACATCTAAATCGCATTTCCCTTGAATTATATTTGTAATGTCACAGACACATGTACTAAGGTTATCAAGGCACCACCTCACCTGCTGCAAGCCAAGCCTCTGGCATACATTGTCAAGGCAATCTCTCCCACTGCTCTCGGCTGATAATGTGCATTCTATGGATGTTCCATCCAGTAGTTCCACACATATTACAAATAATGACTTAGAAACAACATTGTACTGACGGCTCTTCTTCAAACGAAGCTTGAAAGGCATATTCCACGATGGGCATTTATCTAAAACAATCCACATCATACACTTACTACTCAAAGCACAGCTTATTATTCAAACATTTAAGAAAAATACATATTGGATAAGGTAAGAAAACAATACCTTCTTAGAGTACTGATATACTCTGGCATTTTATTCATATTGTGAATCGTTACCAAGTAAGAGTTCATATCAGATTAAGAGATTATTCCCTAAAGACATGAATGCAATTAAAAGTTACAAACATGAACCTGTTAGCTTTGCCATGTCATCTTGTTCCACAAGCAAAAACTCAAAAACTATTGAATTAAATCTCTAATTGGTCAGAATTAGGGATTCTCCAGATTATCACATGTTATAGTATACTGGCTATCATATAATCTAAATAAATTGGATTTTATATATTTATAATGCAGTAAAATTTGTATACAAATTCAAAAATTCACAAGAAAAGTGCAGGTAAATGCACAGCAGAATATGCCAATGTGATAGAACCTAACCCACAAACCAATACTGACAGACGTGACAGCACCAATGCTAACAATGAACATAAGGTTCTGTATCCAACCCTGATAAAAATAGCAATGCCAACCTAACCTAAACTAGCCTTAAACTCTACTGAACGGAATAGTAATAAACTGAACTTAACATAAGTCTCAACAATTCTAAATAATTCTATGTAAATCTGAAGAACTTCTAGAATCTCTCTGCAGCTGTAAACAGCATTTCACTGACACAATCAAAGCAAATGTCAATACAACACAACATAAACTAATCAAATCAATTCCCAGGAATATTAAATAGCTACTGAAATATAAATTTCTGACACATTTTCACTGTGCTAAACATTCACTTAAAAGATTGTGCTTATAATACATCAGTGATTATAACCCTATTCTTACCAGTGACCCCTTAATTTGATGACATCTTACCATCCAGCAAGAGAATTAAACATGTACAGCAGAAAAACATACTGCACAAAGTGTACCAACTGTCAGACACAACACTCATTACATTTAAACTTAATAAGTCAATATGAACATTCAGTAACTGCTAACATACCTTAACCAATTATTTTTAAATTAATATGCAAATGTTAAACTGATACATCTATTAAAATACCACTTATTGTCCACAATAACAATTCTTTAATACATATATTTTAAAATTATTATTATATATATATATATTACAGTAAGAACAATGTATTTTGTATTTATATGACTGAATCTTCAAACTCCTAAGATATGTCACACCTCCTAGGATAACACCTGAAGATCCCCTAGAGAATAACAACCAACCGAGACAAATTCCATTTTGGAACACATATGGAAACTATGACTCCATTGTGTGAAAAATTATATCAACCAAAGAGAAACCCTCGCCACCTGCTCTCTATGCTGACATTGCCACCACAATGATAGATCCAAAAATAATAAACAATATATTTCAGAAACTCATGATTCTTTATACAAAACGTCAAGAAAATCAATATTTCACCTAAATAATTACAGTTCTTCTTGGCAAGACTGAACATGAATGACACATCTTACCAGTGACTGACACAGGCACTATATAGATAAATAATTCATAAACAATAACAAAACATAACCTAGTCACAATGTAGCATAACCTACGTTTAATGATAATTTATTCTATACTTTCAGCCTCTGTTCATGACTCTCATAGCTACAGACTTCAGGACACTGGGAAGACAGATACAGTGTATAATGGTTTCTGCCAATACATTCTGAAAACTCTACAGACGCAGATAACAACCAAACTTTGCACGACACATGAACCACCATTTTAAATAGATAATTATAACACCACCCATTCATATATTATGCACATTGACACAGGAATTTGAATTTTGCCCCACGCTCATCAAGGAGTTGGTCTTCATTATATATAACCTTAATCGCATTGGCCATATAAGAAAAAAGCATTTAAGTTTTCACATATTTTCAAAGTGTAATACATTTCAGTAAATTATAATATAAATGATAGATGGTAGATGGTTTTATTACGTATCTGTACAATATTGTGTAAAAACATACTTTAAGGATATTAATACAACAAAATACACAGTTCTATAAGCAGTACGCAAAGAAAATCTGTAAGTTGTATTAATAAAAACCTTTAATTTTTATCAAAATATGCTACCGATCATAACATTTTTCTCGACCAACCACATTGAACCATTACAAATAAGGACTCAGTGAAAAATTTGATACTATTCAAGACCCTCCTGCCATACTTGTAAATGCCAAAACCTGATAATAATAAAAAGTTCAAATGAAACTTTTCCAACGTAAAACAAACGGGGGAAAAAGGAAAATCAATTTTTATTGCTGTAAGTACAATGAAACACTACCATCGTTGCCATTTCCTGAATTACATTTGGCTAGCGTGTTTACTACAATCTGAGAAATAATTAGGAAACACCACAAATGAACAATTATATATAGTACTTACCTGTAACACAGAGGTTTTCATAAAATTATGCGTGAATCATATTAATTACACAGCATCAAACTGTATTCTTATGCCACTCAAGATATTTATAGTTAAGTTTGTCAGCCATGATAGCAAAATATAGCTCCAAGTGGAGAAACAGGTATAGTACAATCATAGCTAACATTGAATTCAATTTCAAAGACGTGTAAGTTTCTTCTATTAACTACAACTTTAATATGTGAAATATGTAACACAATGTAATTAATTTAAAAATTTGTACTTTATTTACAAAATAGAATTCGTCGTGTATATATAATTTAAAATTTAATTTGTCCAAGCCTGTAAAAAACCTTTCCAAAGCTGTCGAAGCGTGTCTAAAAACTGGCCGAACCTGTCAATTATTTGTGTAAGCATGCCCAAACCTGTCCGAAACCTAACCGAACCCAATCTACTACTGCTGCATCTCATCCAGGCCCAGCTCCTAAGAGGTCTCTTTCCTTCAGATTCATTACATTTTTGTATGAATTTCTCAAATAACTCATGAATTTTGAACACAATAAAATCAATTAAAATTCTTGAGTCAATCAGCATGCTGAATTTAAATTAATCATATTATATGGAGCCGTCACAGTGGCCACGGAGTGGGGCGTGAGCCTTGTGCCACTTGGTCACTGGGACCTTGGGTTCAAATCTCACTCAAGGCATGGATGTTTGTCTCTGTTGTGCTGTCCTCTGTACAGGTAGAGGCCTTGAGATGAACTGATCACTTGTCCAAAGAGTCATACCAACTGTCTATAGATCAAAGGCAATGAAAAATTTGGGACCTGCAGTGCTCAGGCACTTCAAGAACAGGTCGTCAAAGTAACAAAGTAAGTATATCATATGGATGGTCAGCTCTTTTCATGGTACCTAGAAGTTTTATTTTAGTTTATAAAATAATCAGGTTCATTATTTCAAACACAAGTTAATAAGTCTGCATTCCAAGTGGCAATATTACAAAAATTTACATTTGGTACATATGTATCCAAACTAAGAGATTCTATGTAACACATTCTTGACAAAATTATTTGTTTGATATGTATGTGAAATTAACAGCCTTCAATGTCTGCAGTGACTTCAGTTTTATTTTAATTAATTCTTAGTACAAAATTTAAAAAATTTGTACACAGTGTGTGCCACTGATCACGTGCATTCATTCGATAATTTAAACATACCAGAAGCAAAATTCATACATTCATACTACAAATCACATTTAACAAGATTAATACATACCAATATAACAATTTACAAATATTTCAAACTAAAGATTTCTGTAAATCGTATCAAAAATAGTGTTTTACCTCTAAAGTTCATACAAACATAAGATAATGATATTCTACAGATGCACATTCAAGTTTCAATCACCACAAATAAAAAAAACATAGTAAAATAGAAACATGACGAAATATCACAATATAACTGGAATGTCCTCTAATCAAGAAAAATGAAGGCACTATATGTTCAGCAAGTGAACCAGAGAAATAAGCATTACTCAAATAGCGGCAGAAAAGGTTTTAGGGATTCACATGAATCAAGAAATACTGAGGGTACCAATACAAACTATTTTTATTGTCGTCTTCTGGTTGTATATAAACATTATGAAGGAAAATTCAACCCTGAAAGAAGACCATATAATACAAAGGTGCAAGATTTCAGGTTCTGATAGCAGGAAGCATGAAGATGGCTGTTTACTGTGTTGCTACACCATGTAGTCTGGTATGAGTCTACTGAAATTTCAGAAATGCTTGCTGCCACCATCATCAGGACACTCATACCCTGATGTTGGAGGCAGCAAGCACCTCAGAAACATCAGTACACTTCTACCAGACTACATTGCGCAACAATTCAGAAGGCAGCCATCTTAATACAAAACGAATTCCAGTGACACGAAAAAATAGCAGTAAAGACTACCCACATCCACGAAAGGTAAAACTGGAATGGAAAGGTCAAGCCTACACTGATTTACATAAAAATTCTACATACATATTTGGATATGTAACATATTATGAAACAAGTTAGACATACCACTTAAAGTTAATAAACCCACCCACCCAATATGAAATTACTGCTCTCTTCTCTCTTATTCCTACTTAATGCCACACAACAAATTCACTCTGCAATCTTGTCCTTGTACTGGTTTCAAGATGTAGAGATGTCAGACAGGATTCATATATTTATCCACTGGATACTTGTCCCTGTACTGTTCAATATGAGCTTCCATGAACTTCATTTGCTTCCTGTACAAAAACAATTAAATGAATAACACACATTAGTTTCTATAAAAAAAGCACCATTAAGTATAAAGTAATGAAGACATAAGTTGCAGTGGAGATATAGCAATACACAACCTAAACACTGAATGGAGACACTTGATCAGCCAGATGTTTTAATCCTGGCATGATGACATGAATGGGATTATACAACAGGAATGAGATGAATACAAAAGGAAAGGTTATGGGGAGAAGGAAAACAGACATGGCTTTGCAAAGTGGCAATCTATGAAAGCAAAAATTCCAGTATACGGTGATGATGACAAGGTTCTTGTGCACATATTTATTTACTGGTACTCATTATACTTACACGAGCTGGGATGGCATGTCATAGTATACATCACGAAACATTTCCTTCCATTCTGGTTTAAGAACTTTTTCTGCTCTTGCCAATGACTTCAACACCTTCAAAACCAATACACATATATAGACACACATACACATAATGAAAATTTTAATAGAGGATAATCTACATCACATGTGTACAAAATTGCACTGTACTTTTAGCACTCACACCTAACTATTTGGATTCAACAGTTACAGAAGACTGGTTGGATATGTGGGAGACAAAAAGACTGCTGCATTTAGACAAGCTCAGATCAGCTAATTCTTACATTTTTCCTTGTTTCCTCCTTCCAGCTACATTCCTTTGAGTCATTCCACCACCCTTTCATCTCTAAATATCGTCGTAATCTGAGGATTGGAGAATCCAAGCTGTCCCTCTGCTTCACCTCATCAACTGACCTATATGCAGTACTATCATCTGACGTGCTGTGATGACCAAGTCTGAAAACCCAAGATGACTGGCTGAACTCGAAATTCTTTAGTAATTACTGATTTCTACTTTATTATTTAGAAATTATGTACCTGTATGTCATAGCTTCTATTAGGACAGGACGGTTTTCTGCAAGTACATATTCACGTGACACCTTGGTAGCATTATACACAGCCAAAGCATCATTTCCATCCACTCGAATAGTAGTAATACCATAACTTGGACCATGGCCAGCAATTCCATCTCCTCCATATTGCTCATGGGTTGGTGTAGATATGGCATAACCATTGTTACGGCTGAAACAATGCACAATAAGCTCTATTTACTGGTTAATTTAAAGATGTATGCCAATTATGAGATAGCATGTTTGTTATAAGAGAGGGGTACTGAACTTTTGTAATCATCAATTTCCCACTGTCAAGGTTTGTTATGTGATCAAAATGTGAAGTTCCTGTCACCTCTTGACTGTAATACCTTAGAGAAGAGTGGGCTTCCTATGTCACATTTCCAGATCTGCAGAATTTCCCATGTATAATATTTTCACTCTGTGTATCTTACAACAAAAGTTGTATACAAAATTAATTAAGCCAGACATAACTGGAAATGAAAATGACTATAAACCAGGAAACATGACTAATGCACTTGCAATATCACTGAAACATTTAATAGGTGATCTTTAAAAACCTGTACTTCAGATAAATGTAAAACTCTGTAACTGCAAAGAAAACCCACTGAATCAAATACAGTTTTATATAGATGGATGTAGACATTATAAGAAACATTTTGTAGAAATGTGAATTAACATACTTTGGTAGAAACTTTTAAAACAGTTGCCCCATATAACAAACTAGAATTTAAAAAAACCATTAAATCAGTGTGTGTGCCAGATGGTTTAAATGTTACCATCTTATTTTTTGCACCACATGATGATTTCATTTACACATCACATATTCCACATTAATATATGAATTGCTGAAGATGAAGTTGCTTGTTTTCCTTTAATTTATATTAATATTTAATAGAATAGGTCTACTTAATATGAGGTAAAAGATGTGACATATATTGTTATGCATCATATGATTTCACAGTTGAGAAGAAATGTTAGGTTTTCAAACCTGCACTTTAAGATTTTAAGTAATAACAAACATACATTGATAAATGATTAGAAATATATGAACCAGGTGTTAAACTAATATCACAAGCTTATCAGGTCTGAAGGTTAACATATGCTTTCATGAAATACTTCAACAAATAGCTTATATGATTATAACTGTAAAATATTTGAGCAAACCAGGAAACATGAAAACAATGCAAGATAAATTACATATAAACAGGAGGGTTGTGCATACTGAACGGCTATTCATATGGGCTTCAAGTCTGAAACTAACCAAAAGAATATCACTGGGCACTTCAAAGTAGATGCAAAATTGAATGCAGCATGTGCATCACCTTCACTAGCTGCTCCTTCGCCAAAATATGTTATCACACACTGGCCATTCTTTGCAAGTTTGTAGGCATATGCAGAGCCAACAGCTGGGGACAAAAGTTCACATTATTATTAAATTTCTAGATATTTTCTGTACATGATATATTGTAAAATTCAGTTAACTACTGCCTCTATCTTCAGAGTAGAAGGCCTGGTGGCATAACCTGGAAGACCATAAACCAGGATTTTTCTCTGCTCCATTGGAGTCTCCCTTGCTTGAAATAAAAAGTCTGGCAACACAGTATGACCATTAGTTGGCTAATAAAGTGCTTTTTACTGTCTGGGAACATGCATACCATGTACTGAAATAAAAGATAGCACCTAGTTTTCTACTTTCCTGTCTTCAATTGTTTAATCACAAACTAAAATATGTTCTACTTGCTTTCAAAGTGATATAAGCTGATTTATAATAAAAAAAACAATTATTTTGCACTATAATTACCTTGAGGCAATTGAGTAGTAAGTGGAGATGAAATTGTGACAAAATTATGACTCTTGGACCCATAATGAAGAGGCATTTGTCGACCTTTTCCTTTGTCCTCACAATTTCCAAAACATTGATTTATACATTGGTCCACTGAAAAGCCTCTCCACATCAGCACCCCTATGGGAAATAAATGTCAACATACATGGAACAGATAGAACAGCATAGTGTGTATAAGTTCTTAGACAAAGCAAAATGCTTCATGAAGATGACTGCCTTCTGCCTTGTGGTCTGGTAAAAGTTTAACAACATTTCAGAGGTCCTTGCTGCTTCTATCACCAGGGCGATGAACAAGATGTTGGAGGCAGCAAGGACCTCTGAAACACTGGTAAACTTCTACCAGACTACACAGCCCAACAACCCAGAAGGCAGCCATCTTCATACCCACCACTGTGAAACCTGAAATCATACTTTGAAGCTTCACCTTCAAAATGCTCCCCTTATAAAACAAGAAATTTTTAAAAGTCACTGTTCTTCATCTAATGGTCTATACCACAGTATGTCTATAAATATAAATGTGAAGTTGCTCCTGTACCAAAGAGCAATGACATAAAGACATACAGAGGGCATGCAGATATGAAGATTGTACTTGCACAATATACACACTGGTACCAGATGGATGTAAGCAAACAACTACACACCCTGTTCACATCTCCCCAGAAAAAGGCACTGTGTAAAAGTCCCACTAACTGAAACATAAAGTTCAGATCATACTGAAGGAATATTTCCTACCTAACAGTACAGAAATGACTATGTCATAGTTTTAAGAGTGTATTGTAGGCAGATACATGTTTAACCTTATGCCAGAATAATTATAATTATAATAATAAAAATGCGTTCATACATATAATAAACTCTTAAAAGTACTACACAGTCACTTTGCACAATTACGTACCTCAGTATTACAGGAAACATGATTAATTTCAAAAATAGTTTACCTGTTTCCCGATACTGAGCATAAACCAGATCATTAGAAGCAATAGCTCCAGCACTTCCAATTAATGTAGCCTCTTCCCCAAATGATGTCATGTAGAATGAGATGCGACCTTGGCGTTGAGATTCATACAAAATGGTGTCCATTGTATTTAGTAGAATCATTGTGCGATACATCTTTTCCACAAAGTCTTTCTCCAACTTAAAAAATAATGGGATTTATATTTATTACAATATTTGTAACTATACTGTTTATGTATAAATTATAATTTCTGAAAATCAATTAAAACAAACTAACTTTCAGATATATGCTCTCTTACTTACACTGAAATATGTAAAAATAATTAAATTACTTGTTTACAAAAGTTACATGCAAAGAAATTCTGAAGAACAAAAATGTAATTAAATATATATCTTCCAAAATGAATGGAAATTTCAAAACAGCAACTGCAATTAGTCACACAGTCTACGCAATCCTCTACACATGGTCCCCTAGTGACAATCTATAAGTAATCCAATACATAAGCTAGCTGAGATTTTCAACATATTTTTTTACAATTGTGTGACTATCAATATAATATAATCAGAGAACATGTTCCGCACCATATCCGCGAGGTCTGAGGCATCATGCATCAGACAGGCGATACGGAATGCGTGCTGGTTCGGGTCTCGGGGGAGAAGAAATTTTCTCATGAGCTTTCGACCAGTGTATGGGACCGGTGCCAACCCAGCATCGTGAGGCAATTGGGGAGCTACAATAAGTAGCGTAATCCGGTCAGGAAAGCTAGCAATGGCTGGGGGTTCGTCGCGCTGACCACACGTCACCCTATATCTGGTTGGATGATCATTCACCTCTGCTTAGGCATGTGGACGTGAGGCCAGCAGTCAAGTTAGTCGGCTTTGGCTCTCTGGAGCTGTTACACCACGGATTTAATTAATTTTAATCAGAGAACATAAGTAACAAATATAGAACAGTATTACAGAAACTGATGGTTTATCTATAACAACAAAAGCCTGCCACTATACATAAATCAAAACCTGCTCAACCTAAGGTCATAACGATTGCAAGGGTGGGTGAGAATAGTGCACATCTGGATGGGCAATATCATCACAGGAGGTTCCCCCAAGTCCACCCACCCATTTCTATGTGCAGAAACATACATAGATCTTCATGCACACTTCCTATTACTGTTGCCTGAGCTAAACCAATGCTGGAATGTGTAAACAAATTTTAGTGAAACTCACCAACACCAAATTTCATTAAAATAATTCAGTGGTTCTCAAGTTGTTACACGTAGACAGATATACCAAGACTACTAGGAACATTTCTTGCAGCTTTAGTTGCAAACACATCTAAAAAGAGTTCAAAACTATCTTGTTTGGTTAAAATTTTAGTAGAAATGTGAATATATAATTTTAATGAAACCTTTTCAAAAAGAGAAAAGGATTAAATACAGACCTATATTCCCCAAAAATGGTCTTCCCAGTGAAAACATAAAGAATGTCATACTAAACACATATATGAACTGGCTGTTTCCATTTAAAAAAACTGTATGGAAGTCTTCACAAACCTGAGGTTCATCAGGATTCAGGACACAACCTTCTCTGTCCATGACTCTGTAAATCGGAATTCTGTTGTATGAAAGAGGATGAATTAATTCAAGCCTTTCTGTCCACTGAGACTGAGGTCCAGGAAATAATGGCATATCTACATTTGGCTTTAAATTTACTGAAGATGTGCCAACACTGCAAATTTGCTGCAAAGAAAATAAAAATCTATAACTAATTAACTAACTAACTAGATGGCTTACCGAACCTGAAGATTCATCACTGAATTAACCAAAGCCCTCCACCGGACACTGTCCTGGGCCAACAAAATCCAGTTTCCTTCAACTCCTATCTCCCATAGATCCCACCTGAGATTATCCTCCCATCTACATCTAGGTCTCCCTAGCAGTCTCTTCCCTTCAGGTTTCCCAACCAGTACCCGGTACACACCTCTTGTACCATCCATGAGTGCTACATGCCCAGCCCATCTCATTCTTCTTAACTTAATCACCCTGACTATACTGGGGGAGGAGTACAGATTTTTAAGCTCATCATTATGCAGTTTTATCCACGCCCCATCGTCTTCCCTCTTAGGCCCAAATATCCTCCTCAACACCCTGTTCTCAAACACCTGCAATCTGTGTTCCTCCCTCTGAGTGAGAGACCATGTTTCGCACCCATACAAAACAACAGGCAA